CAAGTTCGAAGCATAATTAAGAAACAAGCCCAAAGGGCAAATCTCAAGTTAAAGGCTACGACCAAACTAACCGTTCGGAGACATCCGAATTCCATAGCAAAACAAGCCTTCTAATATTTTTACCAAACTAGTTAAAATAGGCTACCTTTGGCAAAGTTACAAAGGGTTTCGATAACATCAACCCTAAAAAACCTTAAGGGGTACCAAATTGTTCGAACTCTTAAATAAGCTTATGCTAAGGCATAACAAAGTAAAAGGTTTTCGATAACACTGAATCCTGGTGGATACAGATTTATCTCGTGCCAAGGCATAACAAATTTTTATATGATTAAACTTTTTAAGCCAAAAAGGGAAATAGCCACTCTTTTGAGGCCATGTCGCCCAATTCAAGAGCCTAAGGGCCATTATATTGAGTTCAAGAACCCACCCTCCCTCAACTGAAACCTAAGGGTTTTTTCTACTCCGAGTTTGAGCAAGTACTCACTCGATTATAGAAACTATACTAATCTGGCTTCGACAAAATTTTCGCAAGGCAATGAAGTGAGTCAAAATTCTCACAAGATATAAAGTAGATCAAAATTATCATAAGGCGGAAAGCAAAACAAAGTTTTCACAAAACACAAATTAGAGAAGAGTGAGAAAAAACAAGAGATCTTTCATATATGCAAAAAATTTACAAAGACCACTCAGGGTCTTGCACAAAAAATTCGGAAAAGAAAAAATTCTAAGTGCCTAATCTTCCCCGGGAGCATTATCCTCATCTTCATCTTCACCACTCTCGGATCCACTCGCGCTCCCAGAGTCATCATCAGAAGAAGAAAGCAGCGCTTTAGCTTCGGCCTCGAGTAATTTCGTGTTCTCGATATCAACAGCAAGGTCGAAGCCACGAGTCTGAGCGGTGCCAACCACTTCTCTCGCTCGATCTTGAGAAGCTTCAGCATCAGCTCGGTAGACGGCCACGATCGCCTCCGCTTCAGCCTTTACTCTTTCTGCCTCAAATGCGGCCTTTGCTAGATCGGCAGCCAACCTATCGTCGAGATCCTTAATTATCTTGGCTCGGGCCAAGATTTCCTCCTTCATTCTTTGGAGTTAGCATTCGACTGATGACAGTTGGGCTCAAGCTGTATCCTTCTCCGAGGCAAGGCGGTCTATATTTTGCTTCCACCCTAAAGTCTTCGCCTTCATCATGTTGGCCTCCTCATGGAGTTGCTCGATCTTTTCAGCCTTCTGTTGAACCTGCAATGTCAAAGTATTAGTCGTCATCCCCGAATTGATACATCGAACTTCTAAGAAAACTCTTTATTACCTGCTCGATCAGGTCGGTCTGCTCTTTGTGAGCTTTGGCCAGTTCAGCTCGGAGGTCCTTGATCTCCTCTTCTTTTTTCCTACTGAAGAGTTTGAGGGAATCTCTCTCCTCCGTGAGACTTTTAAGATCGGCCTCACACCGGTTCAGCTCGGACCGAGATTTAGAAAACACTTCCCGATGAAGCGTCATGGCCTATGGAGAAATAAAGGAAATCAGGCAAGAGGAAATAAAGGCAAACGTAATACTGATAACGGGATCTGAAGTTTACCTGGATCAGGAGTCCCTGATCCTCATCGAAGATACTCGATGCATCACCCAAATCGGAAGCATCTTCGACTCCCGTGAAGCAACCGTGGAAAAGGTCCTCTCCCTCATGGGCCATTCCTACATTGGGGGTCTCCATGGCCTGGGCTTCCTCAATTTTCCCCTCGGAAAATACGGGGAGGGGCAGCGAATCATCAATATTTATTGCCTCAAGCAAGTCACTTGGGGCGTTCTCTTCATTCCGAAGGGCCTCAGAACCCGCCCCTTCAAGCTCATCTGTCGATTGCTCATCACGGCGGGAGGCATCTTCAGCCTCCAAGGAATCAGGGACTTTGCTCAAGCCACCCTTCGAGATCTCCTCGGTCCGAAGCCGAACCTCTTCGATCATCACCGGCTCAGCGGCCTTTGGGACCTCGGTGCCCCTCTTTCAAGCCACCAGCTCGTAGTCAGCATCTTCTTTTTCCTCTTCTTCATCTCTTAGTCACTGAGCTACATCGGTTGGCAGGGCGGCGTTGTCATTCCTCGACTTACGAGCCTTGCTCTTTTTAGGATTTGGAGTCTCGGAGGGCGAGAGCCTTTTTCTTTTCTTCTCCTTCAACGGCTTCGGGACCGGGAGCGGAACCTCCTCCTCCCCGGATGGGGGCCTCATGACGGCATCTTTCCCAAGGTCTATATAAAAGGAAATCAAGTAAGCATAAGAGGGAAAACATTTTAAGGCCATCAGATACGTGAAGAAAAGCTTATCGTGATTTTTGGCCTCCCATCGGCCCCTTGCTAAATCGCGCCATGAGCGCTCAGCATACGAGAAGGTCGAAGCTAGGGTCTGAACCCACCTCTCGAGGTCCGGGATCGCACCAGGCATCCAAGTGACCACTACATCACAAAAAAAGGTGTCGGTAAAAAGAAGTAAAGAAACAAAACAATAAATAAAAGCTAAAGGAAGGATCGAACTTACGCTCCATATTCCACTTCTAGGGAAATGGCATCTTTTCGGCCAGAATTACGTCGTAAGTTTTCACTCGAACGAATCGACCCATCCACCCTCGATCTTTGTCCTCGTCTATGCTCGAGAACAATACCTTGGTGGCCCAACGCTGAAGCTTTATCAACCCACCTCGAAAAGGACGGTGCCTATACAGCCTGATGAGGTGGTCGAGGGTGAAAGGGTTTCCATCTTTTTTGCTCGCAAAAAATCGAAGCAAGATGACAATCCGCCAAAAGGAAGGGTGGATCTGGCCTAGGGTTATTTGGTATTGGCGGCAAAAGTCGATGATAACGGGATCTACAGGGCCCAACGTGAAAGCATAAGTGTAAACACTTAGAAACCCTTCCACGTGGGCAGTAATATCTTCCTCGGGAGACGGAATCACCACCTCTTTCTTCTCCCAATGGAGTTCTTCCTTGACCTGCTCGAGGTCTCTCGCAGTTATCGAGCATATGTACCTAGACATTGGCTCACACCGACCAGGGACAGAAGAAGTTTTCTCGACTTTGAAGTCGGAAGAAAGATCACACCCATCTCGGGAAAGTATTCCTCAGGGCGCGGCTCCACCGGTGTTTTCTGGTCGACCGGTCGCGATGAAGAGGCTTTTTCCTTTTGAGGAACAATTTTTGATGTCTTCTCCATTTTTGAGTAAAAAAAGAAGAAGAGGATAAGGTTTGGTGTTTTTAGAAAGGGTTGGTAACGGAGCATAACGGGAAGGCCTAGAAGATGCGAAAAGCTTTGAAGATTTGCAGATAGACTTGAAGAACTCAAAGGGATTTTGAAGGTTAGTACAAGAAAATTCCAAAGTGAAGTTTGAGGGAGTGAGAGTAAGACCTATTGAAGGATTCACGGCGACGGTTCAAAGGCACTGGTGGCCGACAGCCAACTGACACTCATTAATGATTTTGGGATTTGTACCGATGGGATGCTTCGGTCGCTTACATTGCTTACGTCACGAGGATGACATCATGATGGATCGAGGTATAAAGTTGAAGGCTCGATTCGTTTGTTCTCATTAAATTCCAAGAAACGAGGGGAATATCTGTATACGATTAAAACCGGGCCTATCCGATTATGCTATTTGATCGAGACAAGGGACTGCGTCGAGGCGTAGCCTCGTAACGAATCAGACCAGAGCACGAAGATGAGGCATCGAGTCCAAGGATCGAGGTGTCTGTCGAGATTGAGGCCAGCAGCGACCAAGACCAAATATGACAAACTTTGAGCAAAGCGCAATAACGGAAAGGCGAGATATCCGTGACAGACCGGGATCATGGCGTACATCTCGGAACAGATCATATCAAGGGCGGTCATCTAGTTAATCATGGGACTTACTTCCATAGTTAGAATTGTACCTTAAATGGGATTCCTCTACTATATAAAGGAGGTCCTAATCATCTTGTAGACACCTTACATTCACACAGATCAAAGGAATACAAATTCACTTTTTAATTTACATTCTCTTGTTTATCAGCTTGTTACGATTTAACTGTCATTTCACAACTAGCTCGAGGGTATACTAGCTCGAGGGCTCTGTCCAAACATTGGTTTGCTTTACATTATTGTCAATTTTCATCACTTATCTTTACGTTTATCAATTCGTATTAGGTGAAATCATGTATCGTTAAAACCACATTATAAGTTTAATTGTTTTTCAATTTTTAGGGTAAATAGTTTGGCGTCCACCGTGGGGCTAAGGATAATAGTGATTGCCTGGTATTAATTCCAGTAACACACACTACTTTACGCTTGTTCTTGTGAGCATCTTTGATTTCAGGGTCAACATGTCTAACTCGCAAGCACTACCCACTCACGCCGATGACGGCCTCGGTTTCCACGGAAAAAGCGGTAATGTGGCCGCCCCAGGAATCGAAGTGGCTCAAGCTGGCCACGAGGGAGTACCTATAGCAGACCCCGTCGATGTCAGTTCGCATGTCGTCCTACATGCAAATCTAGGCGTCAACCCTTGAAATAGTGGCCGCACAATTAGGACTGTGCGATGCACAAGTACGTCATCTAGGGGAGAAATTCAAAAATAGCCAAATTTACAAGCGGTCATTCAAAAGTAGCCACAGTTTCAAAAGTAATCGAAATTTAATCACTTTTTCATATAAAAATAAATCGGAACGAAAACACTGTTCAAAATTTGAAAAATATTCCAGTATAATATACTGAACTTCCAGCATATACCGGTCCAGCATAATATGCTGGAAGTTCATACACAGATGCGCACCAATCTCCAGTATATTATGCTGGAACTTTCCGTTTTGCAACAAAATAGTGACTTTTTCAATGACTATGCACACGCTGGCTATTTTCCATTTAGCAATCCGGAAACTGGCTAGCCCGTGCTATTTTTACGTCATCTAGTTGTAACAGAAAGGATCCAATTTCTACCACCCCTCCCTCTTGCACAAAATTGGTACGACGAGCAAAATTTGAAAAGAAATAAAAAGCAGGCACCGGAAATACTATGTTATTAACGATCAAATTCCCCTTTTGGGCCATTAAAGCAGAATAACATCACCAAAGAGACATAAGCTTTAAAGGAACTATACACAGAACAGTCCTTCATTGCCATACTGAAGGGTATAAGCTATTTACAGTTGATTGCAGTATTATGTGACTTTTTCGCTTGCGGGGGGATCTATTGGTGCATGGAAAGGATTAGAACTCGATCCCACTGTTCAACTGAACAGAGAAGGAAGGCCGGACAGTGTTGCCAAGAGGGGTTTCAACCTTGAAAACCAACCCTGAGCTCCCAACATTTCCATTCCACTTGGATCGCCCAAGCTGCATTTGCGCAAGAAAAAGGCAATATGTCAAAATAAAAGAATATAACTAACTTAATTCGGCAATGAGAGCAAAGGGACATGCAAAGACAAGCGAGACACGGTGTCTGCAAAAGCACAACCCCCACCCCCACCCCCCACCCAAAAAAAAAAATAATAAAAAAAAAGGGAAAAGAAAAGAGAAGAAAAAAGGATCAGAAGTGACTCACAGCTAACGACGCATAGGCAGAAGAATGTCTTGCAACTGTGCAACCACAGATGACACTTAATACCTCCTTTAGAGAATGTGTGATTTCTGCCTGCAAACCAGGGCTGCTCCCACCAAATGTCGGGCATACACTGATACCATAGCCAAAAAGAAATGATTAGATGGTGGTTGATACTGACAAAAACTAGTTATCAACATGAAAGAAGGAAGAGATGAAGAATACTTCATCAAAAAGAAGAGAGATGAAGACAACTATAACTTACTGTACATGTAAGCAGAATGCAAGTGCTATGAACACAATTGCTATTGCTAACACGCACAAGCAAGTCACATATAATGGAGAAGAGACCAGGAAGTTGCTATGACAATTGAAAGTGGAAGCCTTACACAAAAATTTAGAGAACTTCTAATGAAAAAACTCCACAATTGTGGAGTAAACGTCTCCATATTGCTAGTGCCACTTCACCATTGGATGCTGGTGCCAACACCATGAACAGCAAACCACACTAGCATAAAAGTTCAGTGCTTAACAAATATGAATCAACCAGTATTACCTTAATTGAACGGTTGGCCTATACATGAGACCAGATCTCTTCCAAGCTAAAGCCTGGGTGACCCCAAAGCTAAATGATTTGTCAGGCAAATGCATCATTGGCACAATGCACGTTCCATATTTATTCTGCATATAATAAGAGAAAAGTATATTAATCTTAAATAAAACAGTTGATGAAGTGGCTGAAAAAAGTACAGAAGTCATCAAATGTCAAATACTTGCATCATACACCTCACCTTGCAAGAGAAACTGAACTTGAGCTCCCCTGGGTATTGACCCTGGGCTTGGAGCAGACCTCCACATAGAGGTAAAAAGGCACTGGTGGAAACGCCCTCCCCAGCCACATAATTTATTTGACCATTTGGAAATTGCAAGTCCATAAACGACTGCAAAAATAAAGAGAGTAAGTTGCTAAGCAACAAAATAAAATGAGTAATTAAGCTTCCAAATCCACCAAAGCAACAGTGAAGAAAAGCATCTGAGTTTAAATCGGCGGGCCCATACCCACCAAGTTCGAAATTGGAAAAAACAGATTACTTGGTTATCCAAAGGAAAAAAAAAACCTAAAATTTTCCGCAAAAGAGAAATTTTCGTGCTCACTTATGTTACATGTTCTTGCTTGTGTTAAACTTAGCATGACCAACAACAGACAAGTTACTGAAGATTAATACTTCAACACCCCGTCCTGAATAAAATATCAGGGTTCCGAAGTTTACTCCAATCACCAAGTCTTTCACATGCATGTGCTAAATCCAAAGCAGCATCAGAAATTTAGCACTGGGAAATCATCGAGGTTAAGAAAGTATCTTGAGACATTAACTGTTTTTCCCAGTCCTTCAAATATTTAAGACAGTTAAACATAGCTAGGAGGGTACAGAGTTAATAATTAAATTCTTAGATCAAGTCGAAGCTACTCCAGTAGAATATCTATTGAAGGAACTTACAGACAAAAAAAAAATATTTATATATATTCGTTGAAGGATCCACAAATGACTAATACTAATTCAAATGCTACAATTGCACTGTCGCATTTTTAAAGTCGTTGATGAACTCAAATCTTCTTCGTTCTTTTCTAATGAGCATTCCTCATTTTGATGGCACAAGAGGTGCAAAAAGACATGCTCAATTAGCGACTTGGGGATATTGGAGAAGTAAGATCTCTCAGTAAACACTTAGAGAAGTGGCATTATTGGCTTTATAGGTGCTTTTTTATAGAGAACCATGTACTGGGGTGCAGGTTCTCTACTTTGCATAAACAGCTTGTATACGAGGACTTTCCCACCTACCAACGAAGTTTATCGGGAAAACAAAGTACACCCAGGTCTGAAGAATGTGGAATATGCCTCTTATTAGGCAAATGAAAACGCAATGCAATATTATTATGATCTTCAAACAGCCGATAAGAGAGAGCGGAGATAGTGGATGTCTGATCTGTATTGGTTTGATTTCATCTTTAGACCACATCTCAATTGACACAATTAAAGACCTAATAAAGCATGGCTGCCAGAGGAACATTACCTTCCTGCTATGACTGCAGCTAGCATACAGTTAAAGAAAAGTAAATTCTCTAATACACATTCCTCAAAAAAATATTCCCTAATAAAGAAAAAGCTAGGGGGAAACATGGTAGACAAACTTAGAAGAAAGGTAAAACAGCAGCAAATCGGACCAAATTAGCAGAAATACCAGTAGTTTACATGAATAAAAAGCTCCACTTACACAGGCCAAAGGTTTAAGGCAGATCATTGACATAAGCAGCCACCTTCGATGCTTTGACCACACAGCTGGACAAAGAGAATGCATCCCACGCTGTCCATTGATTAATAGAGACAATAAGTATATTAATGTATTTACTGTGCACACAAAAAAAGTTAAAAATGAGTCTACTTCTGGGGGGGGGGGGGGAGGGGGAGGGGGGGGGGTAAGGAAATCATTCTATTTAATAAGAGACTAGAATCATCACTACAGACAATCTAAAATCTTACTGATAATGTCTGCATCACCAGTATGAGAAATTTCCAAGTGGAATAGACTATGAAGACATTACCCATCCCAACTCCAAATGCGCCTTCATTTTCACGCTGCAACACTAACTAATTTTATGTTTTCTTTTCAACGCGAAAGGAGGAGCAGTGACAAAACAGTAACCAAATATAAAGTACTTCACAGGAAGCTTCCAGTTGAATCTGAATTTCAATTGAATGATCAATTCATTTACAACCGTGTGATTATTAGAGAAGCTATATTCATATTGCTACCCTACTGCTTCCCAGCCAATCAATTGAGACATTGGATTCAACAATTACACGCAACACAAGCCACACTATCATGAATAACTAATTTGTGTCTGTCTAGCAAAACAAGCTACAATACAACCAGTATGATAAGCCGCTTTCCCTCAGGTTCCCAAAAGTATCAAAAGACTTCTAATGCAAACAATCTTCAAAAGTTGCAGTTTGCATACCTTCCTATCATAGCCATACCAAAGAAGGTGTTGCTTAGACAAGTGAACTGGCAGAAGTAATGTTGAATCACGGACAAAAAGCACTGGTCCAAGCTGGACAAGGAACAGGGAAGAATTTTCATTTCCTGATGTGGAACTGCCCTGTGATGCCTCAACTCTCCATAAATCTCCTCTGGCAACCACAGAACTTTCTACATTTCTGGTCCTACTTTCATATGTTGATGAAACATTGATCGTACCCTGCACTTGGAGATCAAGGTAGTAAGATCTCAAAATTCATAATAAAGGAACATAAATCACAACATCTTTCCCCATCACATATGAACCTACACAAGTTTAGAGCAAGTATCCTCCACAACTGGCCTCAAAGCCCCAATCTTATAAAAGGGGAAGGAATGGCGAAAAAGGAGGGTATACATGAAATGCTGCTTATTTAAGAAAAGGAATTTAGCGATTTAATAAACTAGTAACTAAAACTGAATAAGAAACTTAAGACTGCATTTTTTCATCTCAATCAAAATTTTAAATTGGTTTTTAAACTCAAGTGCTTCTTACTTCAACTATTTCACTTAATTATATTATTTCAATTAACTTTGTTCACATAATTGGTTTTTTTTTTAACTATAGTTTTTAACTATTTCATTGAGCCTATTCTTTAATTACGCTTTGAGCTTATCCTACCAGATCGACAATACTGAACATTTTCTTGGGAGGGGAGTGTGTAAATGAATGACTATTATATATATTGTTATAAAAGCATGAATATAATGTTGGAAGACCAAAACAGCCCTAAAATATTCATTGAATTTTATAATATTGATGTACAAAAACGTAAAATTAGTTTGTGAGTTGTAACATCCAAATCAAATATGGAATCCAAGTCCCAAGTCAGAATTACAATCTTTGGTATATAGATACGTACAAGTAAAATAAATTTCTGCATTTAATTTTTTTGACGTTTAACTTTAAGAAACACTAACAGAGAGCCGACCATATGTTTTTCTCATTAATCGCAATAGAAAAAAATTGGGTTATTATATAAGAGTAAAAAGAATTACTTTAGGTTTTCCAAGTACAAAATAAGACTTGTGGTTTTTCTGATATTCTAAAAATATACTTTACGTAATTACTTTTTAAACTTCTTTCTTTTTTCTTTTATTGAGTAACTTTATTCTAAGAGTACTGTACAATATATTTTAATGGATAGCTCTATTTGGATAGTACGTAGTCTTAATGTAGTAAATACTTTCAAATTAAAATAAATACTAGAAGATATTTATTATAAATCTAATTAAATTATCTACTCCTATATTCTCTCCCTTGAAAATTACAATCAGTTATTAACGACAACTCTAACTGAATTGACTACTCATATATTCTCTCCCTTGAAAGATAATTAACTCGGCTTATATCCTAGGGCTATTTTATCTTTGTTAAAATTTCAATCAGGCATTAGTTGCAACTTTGATCAAATTCCTCTTACTTTACTCACTTGTCCTACTTATTTTATATCTTTTGAAATGACGTTACTCTTACATAGACAATGGTGACCCCTAAATTAGATTTACTAAAAAAACTTGAGGAAAATCTTTGTTCAAGAAACCTGCTAAAGTACACAACTAACCTGGTGATTTTTTTCAACTTCCATAAAATTAAGAAAATTCATCAATTAATAAACCTTGTTTAATCGCTCTTTTTTCTCTCGCAGTTTTGGTTAATATTATATTGTATACTTCAATTTATAAGCAATATCCTCTTAATTTGCATGGAAGACAAAGATATGTTCAATTTTAATTCAAAAGCATTGAAGAGGAAGAAAGTCAGTGTGGGCCAAGAATATATGTGGGCCAAGAATATGTGTGTGAATTACCAAGGTATAAATTTTCCCAAAAACTTTTCTTGCCCTAAACCGCTCCTGAACTCTTAAAAAAAGGTGCAAAATTCATAGATATAGGCAAGTCCCTCCCGTCCAGTTTATGGATTCACTTGATTCCGAAATAGTTTTTCAAACTACAACATACTTCCACACTAAAATAAAATAACACTCAACAACCACCAGAAGTTATGGTGGCATGACTAATATCCTTTATCATTAACTAGAGATCTCAGGTTTGACCTTTTGGAATGAAACTGTCTTTGACCAGGTGCTTTACCCCTTAAAGTGGGACATTCATTAGTTCGAACCGAAAACAAGTACTCCCTCCGTTTCATATTAAATGAGGTACTTTCTTTTTTAGTCTGTTCCAAAATAAATGACACATTTCTAAATTTGGAAATAATTCAACTTTAAACTCCTCATTTTACCTATTTTACCCTTATGAGAAGCTTTTATAACCACACAAAAGTCATGGCCCCCACAAAGCTTTACCCCTTAAGCTTTTAAGACCACAAATTTCAAAAGTCTTTCTTTTTTTCCTTAAAGTCCGTGCCGAGTCAAATTACCTCATTTAATTTGAAACGGAGGGAGTATTAAATACCGAGCAAAAAATCAAAAAAGTAACATTCAGCCGTCAAGATAATCATATATTATGCAGACTGATTTTTATGCTCTTCAAAAGCTAAATTATATATTTCTTCAACAAGATAATTTTCTGTTGGGTGAATCGTAATATTTAAAACTTTATCCACTAAGATCTTGAACAAACACTAATAAAACATATAATAAAACAGATTACAAGTAAACAAAATGCTATGATACACTCCAAGTAATGAACAACCATGTCGATAATTTTAAGGAAAAAAAGAAAAAAGAATGCATATAGGTATATGTGTGATGATCGATATTTGGAGACACTGAACTATTTCATGCACGAACAAGCATACTCGTTGAAGAGACATAGGATTGGAGTTGAATTAATTAGAATTGGAGTTGAATCTAGAGATTAGAATAATGATTAGATGACTTTCTATGTTTATTTTCTTTGTTATTAATGAATTTTAATCTAACGAAATATAACTTTAATGTACTCGGATCATTGATGCTTCACTAAATTACAGAAAATCATACGACTTTAATCGAATAATTATGTGATTCCTGAATGTTTAGTTCCATTTTGTTCTTTAATGGTATCAAAATATTATTAATGAGTTGGTTTGAATTATATATTAAAATTTTAAGAATTTGATTATTGAATTTTATGCATTACTTTTGAAATGTGTTTGATAATATTTGACATAAAATATTCATGCATCGCACGAACGTACAGACTAGTTATAAGAAAAGCACTCAAAATTATATTCATAAAAACCAACCCATATGAGTAAAGGCAAGTGACAATAAATCTTTTTAGACTTACAAAACTCATATGGAAGGTAGTGTTTCACAAGATTGAAATATGAGTTTTTCTTCATGGAATATAAAAGCAGTATAATGTGAAAATATAAAAATATTAAATAAAAACCTAAGCCGTCAACCTTTAGTTGCTGATGAAGGGAACATCTCCAGCCAATATATTTTAAAAAATAAGCAATACACAAGAAATGACACTTTTGCTTGCCCAACTACGGAATGTTTTGTATTTTATACCTCATTATCTAGTTCTCACATTTTGTGTCCGCCGACTTGTAGACATTTATAAATTTTGTTCAATAAAACTTTTGGCTATACGTGAGCAACACATGAGTCATTGGCCACATGCGACAAACTTCCAGCCGTGAGGCGCAAGCAAACCAATAAACACGTAAAAGAGTAATAGAGGCCACAAACGAAATTAGCAGAGATTATAGTTCACTAGTTCATAAGCTCTAGTTCCACATTCTTACATATATTTCCACATGACTTATGCAAGTATTAGTTATGCAAAAAAGAACACTTACAATGAAACATTGTATGCTAAGTTTTATGGAGAAAGAAAAAATGAAACAAAACATTCTATTTACAATGTTGAACTTTTATCTGGAGATTATTTTTTCCACTTAACTCCCAACCAAACATGACCTAAGGTTTTGAATTTCATTTTATCTGTTTTAGATAACCTCTCAATGATTGTTTTAAAATTATTTTAGCATTTATTTAAACGATTTTTGTCCCTTTAAAGTGTTTCTTGATTTACAAGATTCCTCATTTGGTTAGGACTAGAGCTCCTTAATCCTTTTCTTTTTTCAAATAGAATTGGGAACATCAATATGTAACTATCCACCTGTTATTCTCCATAATATTTTGCTGTTGGTTTCATGTTCTTTTTAAAGAACTTTCCGGGTTTGCTCTTAGCTCCTTTCAAAGGATTTTTCCGCGGAGAAACTAGGAAACATAAAACCCCTTCTATAGGTCTCGTGCCTTATCATATTCACTATTAGCACTTAACCTATATGTTCAAAGAGGACCCCGTCACTAACATTTTGGAAAATTGAAAACCTAATTATGCGTAAGACACCTTACATTTCCTAATGCTTGTATTCACAGTACGAAAATCCCGAGATCTTCATTTTCCCACACCATTATAGCTTAAGTACTTTGAAGACCAAGCTCAAAGAATGGAGCAGAACCTTGCAAGGCAACCTAGCTTTACAGAAGGCAAGTGTTTTCAGTCAACTTGCAGAGATGGAAGGAATTCATGATCAAAGGAGCCTGACTGAAGAAGAAATCCTCTCAAAGAACTCATTATCACTGGAGTTTGAGGAGATTGCTAGTAATGAAGAAGTAGCATGGAGGCAGAGGTCCAGGGCTTTATGGCTAAAAGAGGGAGACAAGAACACCAAGTTCTTTCACAGAACAGCTAATGCTCATAGAAGATACAATAATATAGATCAACTGGTGGTAGAACGGGAGTCTTTACAGGCTCCAGAAGACATCAAAAGGGAGGTTATCAGATACTATAAGAAGCTGTACACAGAGGAAGAAGAATGGAGACCAACAGGGCCCAATAGCATCCATCAAATGATTACAGAGGAGGACAACCTAATGCTACAAAGTCTATTTGGAGAACAGGAAATATGGGACAGTGTTAAGGCATGTGCAGGGGATAAAGCACCACGACCAGATGGTTTTTCAATGGCTTTTTTTAACAAATGCTGGGAAGTGGTAAAAAGGGATGTTGTAGCAGCAGTCCAGAACTTCTATGAGCAGGAAATATTTGAGAAGAGTATGAATGCTACCTTTGTAGCATTGATTCCTAAGAAGGCAGTGGCAAAAGAGCTAAAAGATTTCAGACCAATAAGTTTGATCAGTAGCATATACAAAATTATCTCCAAGCTACTGACTGAAAGACTCAAGAAGGTGGTCAACAAGCTGGTGGATCATCAACAAATGGCTTTCATTAGGGGAAGACAGATCATGGATGTTGTCCTAGTGGCTAATGAATGCATAGATACAAGGATCTCAAGCAAAGAACCTTGGATTCTATGTAAGTTGGATATAGAGAAGGCTTATGATCATTTGAACGGGAGGTACCTGCTACAAATTCTAAGGAGGATGGGATTTGGAGGGAGGTGGATTAGATGGATATCATACTGCATTTCTACTGTAAGTTTCTCAATCCTTATTAATGGAGCTCCAGCTGGATTTTTTCCTTCTCAGAGGGGGCTAAGACAAGGGGACCCTCTTTCCCCTTTTCTATTTATCTTGGCCATGGAGGGACTGAATGAAATGCTGAAGAAAGCACAGACAAACAGCTGGATAAGGGGATTTAAAATGACCAATAGAACTGACAACAATGGAAGGATTTCTCACTTACAATATGCAGATGATACCTTGGTATTCTGTGAAGCAGATAGAGAGCAAATGAAAGTCCTAAGAGTGATATTCATCCTGTTTGAAGCCACTTCTGGATTGCACATCAACTGGCAAAAAAGCCTTATTTATCCGGTTAATGATGTAATGGAAATACAGAGTCTGGCAAATGTTTTGGGGGGGAAGGTGGGGGTTCTGCCTACTATATACTTGGGGATGCCTTTGGGAGCCAAGAGCAAATCAAAAGGAATATGGAATAATGTGTTGGAAAAATGTGAAAAGAAATTGTCTAACTGGAAGAATCAGTATTTGTCAATGGGAGGGAGGCTGATTTTGATCAATTCTGTTTTGGATGCCATGCCTACATACATGATGTCTTTATTTCCAATGCCAGCTAGTGTAGTGAACAGAATTGATGCCCTTAGAAGAAACTTTCTATGGGAAGGTAACTGTGACAAAAAGAAGTTTCACCTGGTTAAGTGGGGTGATCTAACTACAAGCAAAAAATCAGGGGGGTTGGGGATCAAAAATCTGAAAGTGCAGAATCAAAGTCTGATGCTGAAGTGGTTGTGGAAATTTGCAGCAGATGAGCAATCTCTGTGGACAGAAGTGATTAGGGAAAAATATGGAAAGGAAGGAAGCTGGACAACCAAGACAGTAAGAAGACCATATGGAGTCAGTCTGTGGAGATCAATTAGGAACTTATGGCCAAAACTAATCAACAAGGCAAAGTTCAAAGTTGGTAATGGTAGAAAGATTTCACTATGGGAGGACAATTGGCTAGGCCAAGGATCTCTGAAGTGACTATTCCCGGATATTTTCAATGTGTGTCAACAACAGAATGCTACTATAGAAGAGGTGTGGTCAAACCAAGGCTGGAATCTCACATTCAGAAGACTGTTAAATGATTGGGAGATTGACAGAGTTGTGGAATTCTATAGTTCTCTGCAGCAGTTCAGTGGCATCAGCTCAAACCAAGATCAAGACATGATCAAATGGCAAGGCAATAGTCAAAGGAAGTTCTCAGTTAAAGATGCTTACAAGGAGTTCAATCAGTCCAATAATCAAGTGGAATGTTGGCCATGGAAGATGATTTGGAAAGTAAAAATACCACATATGGTGGCATGCTTCACATGGCTACCGGCAAGAGAAGCAGTTTTAACTCATGACAATCTAACTAGAAGAGGTTTTCAATTGTGCTCCAAATGTTATCTATGTGAAGAGGAGGAAGAGACAATTCACCATCTCTTTTTGCACTGCAAGTTCACCTCTCAGATATGGAGAATATTCATCAGTCTGAGGGGAATTCAATGGGCAATGCCTGGAAGAGTCCTTGATATTCTGGCAAGCTGGAGTAAAATGGGCACACCTTGTAGAGAAAGAGAGAGATGGAGAATTGTCCCAGCATGCATATGGTGGACAGTTTGGGAAGAAAGGAATCAAAGATGCTTTGAAGATAAGTCTAGCAGCATTCAGAATATTAAGATGAAATGTCTAGCTCTTTTTTATTTTTGGTGTAAAGGTCAGCTTTTGGAGGATCATGAATCCATTTTAGATGTTTTAGAGTCCTTATAAGAAGAAGAAGAAGGACTAGGAGTGCCTACTTTTTGCTAGGGCATCCTTTTTTTGTAATTATGGGGGACTTCACAATTTTAGTGAAGTCTTATATCAATATACAACTATGTTATCTTTTTCAAAAAAAAAAGTATCTTCAGAGTGCAAAAACTATGTTACATTTACTGAGGCTTTTACCAATGAACAAACGTATGGAAACTTACATTTTTAAATACTGCAGCAAATATAGCTTCTAAGCGCAAAAGTCTTTGTTAGGTTCTTGCATCAACCATATGTTTAAAATTGCAAAGCAAGAAATTCATATACGTCACTGGACACGAACATAAACCTTTTGTGTTTCAATAAAATTCACCTGTGATCTGCCAAAATTTTTGAATGCCTTCAAATTAACACCAAAAAACTCTTCTTCGCCCGGCCTATCATCAGCTGAATCCTTTTCAGCGTTCCCATATCCCCTAAATCTTTCAGCCAACGAACCCAAATCCTCCTGCAATGTAATACCCAGATCAGCTCTATGGCTATCCGTCCCCGCCATCATAGATACCCCTAACTTCTCGTCTTGCCGAAAAGGCCATGGCAACTTCCTGACAAACTGCTGAACCATTCCATTTAAGCAAGCCCCGAAGTCTGCTCCAGCCTGTCCTATTCTGTTCCCAATATCAAAAATTGATGAAACCCCTGTAATAGTAGAGTTGTCAACACTGATCCCAAAATCCCTTGGAATGAAATTCTGACTTGGCAACTCGACATCAAAAAGCTTGGTAGCCTGCCCTAATCTGTTCCCAATATCAAAAATGGCGGAAACCCCTGAAATTGCAGTGTTATCCACAGCTATCCCAAAATCCCTCGGAATGAAGCTTTGACTAATCAACTCTACATCAAAAAGCTTGGAACTTTGTGGATCAGGCCACGAAAACGATGGAGGACTAATATGCGACTGAATCAAACCAGTGACTCCTTGAGCAAGCTTATCAGCTAAGTCTTGCCCATGTCTTTGCACCTCTTCCCATGCTTCAAATGATCTCTCCACAGACATCATTTCCCAAAATAAACCTTAAATTTCTTCTGAAAATTCAAATTAGCCCTTAAAACTTCACTCTATAGGAAATCAGTAAATCAAACGGTAGTACTACAGTAACAAGCATCAAGTACAACTTAAACAATCACGTTGTTCGCCTGACCCAGCTTACTCGTCAAATTCATAAGTAGTAACATAGATTCCATAAGTGACAGTAAATCTCAGGTTTTACCAACTATCAATAGAAGATTGAAAGAAAGTTACCAGGAACAACGACGCTTCTAGAACTCAGCTTTAGCTCATGAGCTCAAATTGAACCGTTTCCAACCTCGAGATGCTCCCAAATAGTGAAATTTGCAAATTAGGGATTCGTAATTTTGAGATTGAAGATAAGGGTACAGGATAGAAGTTGTTAGGGTTTGTAGGAAACAGTTGAAAAACGTAAAGATGAGAAGTATGAGCTCATCAAAGACGTGTGAAAACTGAAAGCTGATATTCTTTGAGCTTTGAAGAGAGTAAAATTTAAAAGGCCGTGGCCAGTGGTAAGATATGTTTTGGGGGGTTTTGGACTTTTGGTGCGCACACCCTTCACTGTTTAATGCCACGTCGGTGGCGATAACGCCTTGTGGTTCTCAAGATAGAAATTTCCTTTCGAGGTGGGCCTTCTGGGCCCCAAATGTCGTCATCCGGCCTTCTACAGTTTTCTATTGGGCCATCAGTCAAAAACCGTGGAGTAATCCTTTGTATACACACGGCCTGCTTTGTTATGCTTTTTTCTGGAAGGGATTTTTTTCTTGGGCTTCTTTTACTTTTAGCCCGTGCTAACTATTTACATTCGATAGGCAAAAAAGTGCATAAAATTTGTATAATATATATATATATATATATATATATATATAAAATATATATTTTTCGGCTATTATTTTGAGAGTGGCTATACAGTGCTAAAACTATCCTAATTTTACATATTACCCACCCTAAATAAGGTATGCTTACAGTTTATGTATAAGGAGAGGCATCGTGGTGCATGTTATTTGCAGGACCAAGACGGAGTACTTGGAGGCAAGCCATGGAGTCTAAAGGTTTCAAGTTGAGCAGGACCAAGACAGAGTACTTGGAGTGCAAGTTTAGTGGGACGACTCAGGTTGTGGATGGAGAAGTGAGGCTTGATTCTCAAGTCATCCCTAGGAGATAGAGTTTTAAATACCTTGGGTCAGTTATACAGGGAAATAGAGAGATCGACGAGTATATTACACATCATATTGGGGTGGGATGGATGAAATAAAGGCTCTCTTCAGGTGTTCTGTATGATAAGAATGTGCCACCTAAACTTTAAGGTAAGTTTTATAGAGTGGTGGTCAAACTGACTATGTTATATGGGGCTGAGTGTTGGCCAATCAAGAAATTCCATGTCCAAAAAAATGAAAGTGGCTGAAATGAGGATGTTGAGATGGATGTGCAGGCATACCATGCTGGATAGAATTAGAAATGAAGTTATTCAGGATAAGGTGGGCTTGGCCCTGTGGAGGACAAGATGCGGGAGGCGAGACTTAGATGGTTCGGACATGTGAAGAGGAGAGACATAGATGCACTAGTAAGGAGGTGTGAGAGGTTGTCCTTGGAGGGCCTAAGAAGAGGTAGATGTAGGCCAAAAAAGTATTGGGGAGAGGTGATTAAGCGAGATATGGCGTTGCTCCAGCTCACTGAGGACATGACCATAGATAGAAAGATGTAGAGGTTGAGAATAGAGGTAAAGGGTTAGGATAGGTTGCCTAGCGTTGTCCTTGTCTGTAACAATAGCTTTAGTACATGAGTTAGCGTTATTTATGTATTTCCGTATCTCTTAACTTATGTGATTACTTGTCGTTGCTTTCGTTTCAACATTCTTATTACAATACTCAGTTTTAGTTTTGTATCTTTGTATTTTTGCTTCGGTTTTATAATTGGCGTGCTTGTTGCTTCCGTTCCTTTTATCTTTCCTAAGCTGAGGGTATTTCAAAAACAACCTCTTTGCCTTCTTGAAGGCATAGGTAAGGTCTACGTACATACTATCTTCTCCAAACCGCACTTGTGGGATTACACTGGGTCTGTTTTTATTTTTGTTGTTGTTGTATTAGTGTCTTAAATAGGGGATACAGTTACACCCTTTTCCTTTTTTTCTCTCATATCCTTTTTCCCTATTTTCTGTCGCCTCTCTCCGTGTACAATTCATTATTATTACCTTAAATTAGGGGATTTAGTTATACCTCTTGACATTTTAGCATTTCAATGGATCATACCTTGTTGTAAGGTATTTCAACCATCTTGGATTGTCATTCTTAATATAAATTAGACGGTTAGATTCAAAGTTCGGATTTTTATTGCATAAAACTTATTGATTGTCATTTTATCTTGATGGTTTTTCTCACAGACTTGTTAATCATGATTTAATTTTAAAGTCATAATATGACTATATATGATGTTTGGATATAAAATATAAAGTTTGGGAAAGTCGGATTTAAGTTGTGAAAAAACTGACTAAGGATTTGCCTTGTAATGAAGCTTTTTGAGCAATACATTTCGTATGTTATATGAGGTCTTCTTGGGACATATTATATAACAAATTGAAGGTCTTGGAATGTAGTTTCCAATGCTCTTAACCGATAATTCATACGACATCCGGATAAAATGATATAAGCATCGAAAGAAGGGCCAATGCTAGGGTGCTAAGCTAGCACCTCTTTGACTTTTCAAACGTGGATATATTTTATATATATATATATA